CCCCAAAACCCCAAAACCCCTAAAACGTTTGTTAATGTAAATTAAAGCTGAAATACATAGATAAATTGTTTATATAATTAAGTCAAGACGAAGCTTCTCTTTTTTTCATAATGACATAGGTAGCAACTCCTGCTAAACTAGCTAGTACTGTAGTCCAAATAGCAACTTTTAAGGGAGTATCTGGAACTACTCTTTGCAAAATGGGTTTTGTGAATTATTTGTCATACTCTTTCTTTTCTCTCACAAATTTTATTCTCTCCATGGTATAAACTCCATGCATCCTTTTGGCAGCTTAGTCAGTTGCTTATAATTTCTTAAAGATTCTTAATGCTTCATCTAAGAGACTTATAGCATCATTAAACTTATTAAGATTTTTATGTAAGAAGGCACATTAAGCAATCAATTGGCCTAGGGATTGATCTTCTACTTCTTATCCATTTAAGGCTTTGTATATAGTAATAACTTTTTGAGTCAGAAGCAATGCCTCAGTATTTTTCTTTAATACAATGAAAATTTCTGCTAAGGCTTAGTAAAATTGAATCATCTTTTAACTATTTTCACCACCGTTAATTTCTTTTGTGATTCTTATAAGTTTTTCCCAAAGAGGAATTGCCTATTCTAACCATCTCATTTATGTAAATAGAGCTGCTTGATCTTCAAGGTGTTAGCAATATTGCTCACTCTGCTATCCATGAATTTTACCTGCAAGCTCTGTTTTAATGATAGTATATTCAACTGCTTTTTCAAATTTTTAGTCAAAGACCATTAATGTTGATAGTTGCTGATAGATATCAAGAAGTTTATCGCTGATTTCTCCACTGAGAGCCTTAACAATTTTTTCTGCTCTAATTAAGGCCTAGATGGCTTGAGGAATTTTGTCTAGTTCAGTGTATATTTAGCCAATAAAGATTAAGGGATCAACTAAAAGTTCATTATCCTCATTTCCATCAAAGTATTCAAGACTCATTTTAATAGTTTCTTAAAGTACATCAAGACCCCCTTAAAGGTCTCCTTCCTTGATTTTCAAATTAGCTTTAATCTAATCACAAAGAATGCTCAAACTGCCTTTAAAACCTTATTACTAGTCAATCTTATCAGATAGTTTAACTACATTTTCCATTAGTTAGACTGCTTATTCAGGATCTTGTTAAACTTATAATAGTAGGAAATCATAGCCCAGCTTAATTTGAGAATATTCAAGTCCTTTTTCCATCAATTCCTTGCTACAGGTCTTATAGATTTTCTGAACTTTATCTGGTCTCATAAGCTTGATGTAATTTGCGCACTATTCCATATAAAATATGCAGTTAAATATGCTTTCCTACTTATTGGGAAGGGAGCCATGAATCTTATCTATAATTTTTGAGGCGTTTTTCATTACATCTTCTGCTTTATATTCCTCTCCCTTCATGTCAGCATATATACTTGCTTTCAAGTTTAAATTAGTCAAAAAGTATTAATTTTCGTCGTTTCCAAATACTTTCAAGATCATCTCTCCACACTCCTCTGTAACCTACAAAGATTCAGCAAAAGCTTTCTTTCTATTTAAAATCTATATTTTACCGAAGAGTAGTCCAATTATCTTTTTGTGTGCTGACAAACCGTCCAAGACCTCTTTGGCCAAATTAAGAGCTCTGTTGATATATTAAATACCTTTTTCTTAATCTCCTTTTTTGCTGTTAAAGTCTGCCATTAAAAAGAGTACATTTGGGGAATTCATAGATTTTGTACCGGCATCTCTCATTGCTTGACTTAACAAATTTTGGTAATCGTTTTGCTTGTATAGATGGCTGAAATGTTTGCATTAGGTTAGTAGTATTTTTAAGTTGAGTTTTTTATAGTTGTTTTCTTTATTCAATACTTAATTGTTAATCTTGATAGCCTAATTGAGGTATTGGAGACATTACTTCAATTCAATTACGCCATCCTTTGGAGAACATACTAAAATTTTAACATAGAACTTGGAAACCACTAAATCATTTGGATGGCTTTTGTGTAATTCACTGATTTAGTTAATGCTTCTGAGAAAATCTACAATGTGAACCCTGACTTCTAGAATTGATTAGGCATAAATAATTCTAGCTTTGGCTCTAGGATTATCTTGAGCAAGGTCGAAATAATGTTTTATCTCTGTTACCAATACCTAAGATGCTTTTAATATACTTTATGTCTTGCCCACACACTTAACATATCTGGCAAAAATTTAGCATCGCTATTCAACATCTTTCAACTCTTCTACTTTATTATCTTTCATGTATTATTAGGCAAATTCGAGAGCTTCAATATATCTTGACTGTTTGAACAATTCTTTGCTTTTAACCTTCATAGGCAAATACAGTGATTATACATCTGAAGTATTTTGAGTTAGTTTTGCTCTATCTTCTTATTAAATCTAATTATCTTATCCTGGTGTAAGCTCATGCTTTTAAGAATGCTCATTAGAGACATTATCTTGTTCTGCTTATGGCTACTTATGCTCTTCTTCGATCTTTGGATCATCGGTTAGCGTCTGATTTTATGACTCCATTATAATATTAATCGAGTGAGTACCTGATTGATTTCTAAGTATTAATTATTAATAATTAAGATTCTTGATGTGTGGCATTTAAATTTATTATCTAAAATAAGACTGTTGAAAATGCATCAAGGGGTTTTGGGGTTTTGGGGTTTTGGGGTTTTGGGG